ATTACCGACAGTTATCCAACAATCAAAATTTACAATCACCAGTTTCTTTCTTATATTATCGCGAGTTAAATAAAAAAGGATCAAATAAAACCTGAATTTTAACGTAAAGTGCTGACTGATATATCTGAATATTTTCAAAGACTAGTGATATACCTGCTGTATATTTCTTGTTTAACAGTGCCGGTCATCAACGGTTTACACTAGCTAGATATTCTTCAAAGTGCAAATTCTTCGAGATATAATACGTATGACCCCTGGGTACAATTCGGGGGTATAACTCAGGGGTCAGCACCCTATGGTATGCACGGAAACCGTAACAATACGTACGTACGTACGTACGTGCCAACTGTGAGGTCACGTTTCAGATCATCGATCTTTGATCTTATGATCCGGATCGGACTAATTTAACATCTCTACTCGGGGCATACTCAGGACGGTCCTACCTGTATCATAACCTGGATACCCGACCCACCCGGGTATACCCGGGTCAGTCCTACCCGGGTTCAATCACTATTTCAAGCCACCAAAAAATACAAAATTTGGGGTGGTTAATTAGACATGGCTAATTAGACATAAAGCTAAAACAATCTTAAATAAAGGCTAAGGCTAATTAGACTTGAGGCTAAGGCTAATTAGATAAGGGCTAAGGCTAATTAAAAAATATTAGCCTTAAGGCTAGTAACAACACTGCAGCTTTAGGGTAGAAATTATAGATAAATAGAAATCCCAAATATCATTTTGATCGATTTCATTATAATATATACATAATAGTTCATAATAAATTATTTATTTGCAAAGAACCATTCGATTTTTAACATAATTTATTCAAAATATTATTAGTACAAATATATTAATAATATAAGTTAATCATTTAAAAAAATATAAATACAATATTAGATTTATAAGTGTTTAAAGATAATCAAGCATTAGTTCATTTAATTCTAAAACATGTTCATTATATAACTTTCTATTTGCTGATGGACTATCCCTTCTATTCAGTGTTAATTGTTGCACTTCTGATGGATCAATCTTATGCATAATTTCGAACATTGTCTTGTACTCGTCAAATGTGAAAACAGCACCTTGCTCTCTAATTTGCGCTAGCATGCTCTAATGATATTAATAAGAATGTTGAACAATATGCTTAGTACAATTATTTAGCCAATATATTGATGAATATAAGTACTTACTGCTGGGCCGGAATTATACAATTCATAGTATAGTCTTGCCTTGTCCAAGGAAATTTCGACAGGCATGTCAACGATATTTTTCAAATTTTGTTGTAATGCAAGGACATTACGTGACATTTTCATAATACCATTGTTATTCAAATTCCTCAGATAAGTAGCATTAGAAACTAAGACGTGTTCCATAAGAGCATCCAAACCTTCAAACACGAATCTTTTATGTCGTTAATTAGAGATCATTAGATATATTGCGTGATCGATATTTAGTTATTGTCGTGGCTGAAGCTGGAAATTAGGGATCTCGATTTGAAATATAAACCCTACCAAAATCCACTTATACATTTTTATTATCAAATCTAACCCTAAATCCTAGTCTAACTGTAAAAAAAATGCACCCAAAAAATTTTGAAAATTTCATATTAAAGTATTTAAAATTTCCAGCTTCAGCCACGACAATTATTAATTAATGCGACACCTATTTTGTTTACCTGTGTTCTTTTAATGGAAGATTAGAAGATATGCTTTCTTCAAATTTTACCATGTCAGCATTTAATATTAAAACATGTGGATCCGGTTCATAAGCTTCATAGTCAAGTTGATAGTTGCCCTGTTAAGATAACTTATTAGGATGTAACAAATCTAGTTACATAAGAAATTAATTTATATATTTAAATACCTCACGCATTGCTAAATCTATATAATACATAACGTGACAACGAAGCTCAACTCTCAAAGTGAATAAACATTGTTCAGCCAATTGTTGAAATGTAGCTAATAAGGCATCAAAACGGCTATATTGAATGATTCAATAAGATTTATAATGCATTTAATTAAAAGATCATGAATGAATACACCTAAGACGCATACTTTGTCATTTCGTCTGTCAGTGACAACCCAGTATTTTGATTGTCATCGTTCTTTTTTTCATCATCTTTTGGTCCATGGTTAAGATTAATATCACCATATTGCGACCATCTCCGATTTTGTTTTGCCTAGAGTATAATTATAATTATCTTCTAATAATATGCTATTAATAAATTGTGATAAATACTCACCAATTTGCCATCATCCATTTTTGCAGCATCATCCATTTTTGTTGGTAAATTAGTAGGGTGGTTTCCTCTTCCACGCAGTTCCCAAATTTTGGCAACAAACCATTTCTACAAAAAGTAGCAAAATAAATAATTATAAAATAAATTATAGAAATTAATTCATTTCTTACCAAACTGTGATATAAAGTTCCCAAAGCAGTCATCTTTTTGTTTTCCATTATCAATTCTCCGGAGCGAATATATCGCTTCTTCTTAAAATGCATCTCGACTCTTGTTTCCTAAATATTAAAAAAGATATATATATTATATATAGTATATATATCACATACATGAAATGGTAAAATAAACTTTAATCTTACTTTATCACATAGCATTTTACGTTTTCGACGGCTTTTAACAGTATCATCATCAAGGTATGGATACTGACCCAAAATTTCAGCTAATTGATCTTGCTGTACCCAAGTGGCACTAATTCCTTGGTGATTTCCGGTACCCCCTGAATCTGCTTCGCCAGAATTTTTTGCAACAATGGCTAATGTAATATGTATAATTGCATTCATTAAGAAATTTGAATGCAAGAGTAAATTTACTAACGGAGATTAATAGATATTACCTTGATATTGTTCAAAACATTTTACATAATAACGCGTAAGTAAAGAAATAATCATTTTGCTAAACTCTTCTTTATGACTTGCCATGGTTTGAAGCATGACGCATAGACGTTCAACCATTATCATCAATGATGCTGTACTCTGTATTTTATAATTATTATTTTGCAAATGACTTAATTTATGTATGGTTACGAAATATATATAGCTACCTTGACCACTGGAAGAGTCGTGTAACTCTTATAATTTGGATCATCCTGAAAGGCATCAGCTTCTAATGACGAAAGTAATCAAGAAACAATTGTAAATAAATAATAAGTAGGTGTGAACTCATTTCATATATATTTACCAGATGTGGATTTTTGAAACAATTCAAAAATTTTATCTCCAATTTGAGGCAAAAATACATTGGAGACAAAATCATCAAGAAAAGTAGTGAAATCTTCCGATGATCGATGATCACTATTGTAAATACGTAAGACATTGGGATAAATAAGAAAGACAACCAATTATTTATAAGGAGATAAAGTTTAAACTAACCCAGGAGGCAACATTGTTTTGACCTTCTCCAAAAAGGCTGACGTAGGTTTGAATAAAACAGAAACATTAAAGGCATCTGGTTTAACTACAAGACGATGACCAGCAGTTATATTTGTATTTGCAAATCGATCTACCACAAATACAGAAAGTTGTCTTTCATCTGGAGTTTTGGAAAACGTCTCTGGAAGAAATTTTTGAAGTGCAGTTTTAATATCTGCTTCGTATTGTTGATCAAAGACAGTGTATGATTTCAGATCAGCATCTCCAAATTTAAATAATTGCTAAATAAATGAATTTAATAGTTGAATATCTTAAATTATTAATAATAAAATTCCACGAATTCAAAAGATTGGTTATAAGTTATAATGAATACTTTAGAAGAGTCACGAGGTTTCTTCTCTTTCATAAGATCCTGAAGTAATGCGTCTGGAGCATCTATGGATGCTGAATCTCTTTCATCATTTGTGATATAGTCACGTAGAAGCGTACGAACCTGCATGCACACATATTAAGACGAATAAAATAAGAATAGCAGTAAATCAAACTAAGATGACCAATGCTAAGTGCAAATTATAAAGAATAACCATGCCTCGCTTTGAATTGGTTTCCATATCTCAGAGAATGGATAAAGTTTGATTTGAGATCCTATAACACAAAATATTATTAGATTAACTAGCAATATTTAATAGTAAATGTGGTGTATAAATACTGGATTACCTATTGATTTGCTAAATTCTGGTCTCTATTTATTATATTTGAAATATATTAATGATTTTTACAATTGATTTTTTATTTATTTATTTTTTTGGACTGTAGCGGTGAACTAACCTTGTTTATTCTTTCAATAACATCAAGAATAAATCTATGTCCTTGCAAAACAGCATCTAGCTTTGAGTAAAGAGTCCATAACAGATCTCTTAATGTCTCTAACTGCGCATCATTTTCAGGAGCGTCAAGAGAAAAAATCTCTGTCATGTCATATTTCTTTGTAGTCAGCGCCGCAAACGAGTTAGCATTCCTTTAAAAATATTGTAAAATGATAAGTTTTATGATATATGTATTGGGAAATAGAGATTTTTTTTTTTTTTAAAAAAAAAAGAAAAAACAGAGAAATACCTTTCTTCAACTTCTGCAACTGTTTTATCTACTAATTGGTATAATTCAATTGGTATTCTTTGAGTAATTGTCTGTTAGGAGTAGATAATTTTTTTATATAATTATTTGATCATTCTTGAAATAATTGGATGTAAATTTATAAGGAAGAATACCTCAAGTGCTTGAGGCAATCTTTTTAAAGCTGCGAGAGACTCTACTAAAATTTCCATGTAATAAAATGAATCTGTTTCTGGATTGATATCTAGGTTTTCGGTAATCTATGAATAACAGTTACATGCATAACAACAATTAGATAATTGCAGAATCGCATTGTAAATTCCAGAAGAATAAAATACAATGTATCCTTACAATCTCGTCATCTTCATCTTTAACAGTAATAAAAGGCTTCGGCGACTTTGGGCTTAGAATACCCCCAGAGAGACCAGTATTAACTAATTTTAACAATATTTAAATTCATTAATTCAAGACTAAGATGCCGAATTCTGTTTATCTTACCGTGTAAATTTTTCTTATTTTTTTTGCCCCCAACGTAATTCATTTTACGACTATCTCTTGCAGAATTCCATTCCATTAGCGGCGAGGGCACTATAATAATTTCCGTGAAAACAGCAGATAAATACAATGTTACACATTTTTTTAACAAATAACGATCAAAATGACACACATTCTTTCTGATCCTTTGTATATTTAACCCATCGACTATCGCAGTATGAGCTCTTTAAATATAAATGATTATGTAATTCCTCAATCAAATGTTCATGAAGGGCCTAATATAAAAAATTAGTCAGACTCTTATGGATGTATCTACATATAAATTGAGTACTTACGCTTTGCTGCGCCTTGAAATATCGTCGCAAGTCAGATAACGCACCAATACCAATCATTTCTTTTTTTTCTAACATTCGAGTGGATTCCAAAAGTAAATTTGAAGCTGTTAAAAAATGTTTTTCTCTTAATAACCCTTCTAATTTTTCAGGAGCACCCTTGAAATCCTCTCTAAAATATATGCAGCAAAAAAAAAAATAAAATAAAAAAATCTAAGCAAATCACTAGAAACATGCACTTAGAATTATTATAAGTCGACATACATTAAATCTAATATGCGAATCATCTCTTTATATTGTTGGCTTCGGAACCATAATTGAAGTAAATCAGATCTTTTTGATGACAACGCCTCTTTACAGGCTTTAAGTTGTAATTTCATCTCTTTTACCCTTTCCTGAGAATCTAAATTTATTTACATTGGAAGATCACGTTATTAAATAATACTAAAGATTAAAACTCCATGTTAAATCACAAAATATACCTCCAATATTCTTCATAACGCCACCAAATGTACCAATTGAACTATTGAACCCGTGATAATAATCTAAGTAATAAACATTAAGCAAAAGTCAAATAAAATTTAAAATAAATTGATTTTAAGAATAAAGTTGATAATTCTTAATACCATTAACGATAAACTGAAGTGCTCTGTCAAGACTTGCTTTTGTTTGTTGAAACGCCTTATAGTCCTTCCCAAGCGAACTATCATCCAGTAATTGCAACGCAAGCGATACGGGGTTAAACTTGATACATCATTGTTAAATATATATGATGGACTGTTATTTGGTAAATCAGTATTTATTTTTATTATGAACAGAAACGTTTTTAATTGATGACTTACGTTTTCGGATTTCATAAACTCCCAGTTTTCATTAATTTGCCGCATAACAGCTTATGTTAAAATGATTTTAGAAACATCGCTATTCAATTAAAAAGGAAAAAATTTTTTTTAAGTTACCCTCCATTTCCTGAAAACTGTCTATCGGGGCAGGACTAATCTGTGTATTTTGGGAGTAGGAATTTTTCCAATCGAATTCACCAGCATAATTATCACCAGAGTAGCTAACACCATAATCACCGCCAAAATAATTAGCGTCAGGGTAGTTTGCCATTTACAAGATTGCCGAGAAGTAAATTAAATACGTCAATTATTTCAAATATTATCAAAATAATAGTCCTAAATTAAGGGGACGAGATAAATCACGTGCCCAACCGCCAATCAAATTTATGAGAAACCGTCGATGTTACACAAAATTGTTACACAATTGAAAGAAAATTTTTTTATATTGTTTTACAATAATTTTTTAGGAAGCTGGAGTAATCTATCTATTCTATAAAACACTAGTGTATAACCCATGCCTCTGGCACGTAGGTTGTGTGAAATGTATGGGCTTCCCGAGTTATATAATAATTTAAA